GGGCAGCCAAACGTATGGAAATTTTACAGAGATATAATAATAAAGATCGGAGCAAAAATTTCAAGAAATATATATAAAACTGGAAATACATAACATTTTAATAAATAAAATAAGAATAATCGATTTCTATTTGACGAATCGACAAACGCGAAGAAATCTGAGAAAATATTGTCTTATATGGATTAATTAATGTTGGTTTTATTTTACAATTGTCATTTTAAATAAGATGTAATAACATTCTATCGTATCGCATAGTGAGCGAAATATCAAATAGAAAAAAATTGGTAAAATTTATAAGATATCCCAATTAATTGTAATTATTTATTGGGTTAGTCGCGAGCTCTCTCGATAAATACGCTACTGCTTGAAGAAAATAAAAGCCGATCGAGTGCCCGGCAGTGCCATTGCCATATGAATTGCCATAATTTATATCAGGAAGTATGCCGCGTTGCTTGATGAAGTCCATGGCGCGTTATCATAAGACGAACAATTCGAGCGAAAGTATATCTTCATCTTTTGTCGATATCTTCTTTACGACAATTTTCTGCGGACCATTAAAATTATTCAGGCCTAATGTACATCCAGACGAGCCGAGCTTCATTATCGACTATGGAATATCCATGGCATGTGCCCGACACGTGTCTCTGTAAGAGTATCATTGGAATTACGAATTGCTCGCGGTCGTTACTTCAACCTTGACTATTGTCACAATAATAATAAACGGTAGGCTGCGGATATCCATGCCGGGATCGAGTCTCTTATCTTCACGTGATCCTCCCGAGAGTTTTGCCGAATAAATATATAGATTATCAAAAAATAAATACCGAGAAGATACATTTTCAGGAGCCATACAAACGCAATAGGGTTGTAGCTAAATAAATGTGCAACAGAATTTTTACGTATCTCTTTTATTTCTCGTTAAACAATTATACCTTTCCATTTATTCTGCTGACTGAAGAGGAAGGAAGAGAAATGTTAATTTTTCTCGTTAGACGCAAGAAGGACGTACTTCAAAACTTGGAGATTAATTACTAACTGTCGATATGTTTAATACTTAAATTATATATATATATATATATATATATATATATATATATATATAAAATAAAATATTTGTATATAATTGTTAAAACTAACTATTAACAACATAAAAATTTTATTCTGTATTATATTTTACAGAGTATTATATTAAATATTTTACAAAATTGTAAAAACAATATTATATTTTTATGACGTATTACGATAGATAATTCAACGGATAATTCATGTATGAGAATATACATAATGTTGATATAAATGTTGATGTTGATATATTATAAATGAATGTATGTACAAATTTTTTATAGCTTATAGTCTTGTATAAAAATTACATCATGCTTGAGCATGTTGCAAATTTGAAATAGAACATGCAAAAACAATTAAGAATAAATATATTTTACATAACAACACTTTATATAGCCATATTTTACTTTTCATCATTTACCCAATACCCATGAGAATTTTAACGACTTCGATTCTAGTATTGTCCGTTTGAAAGCGGTTTCCAACATCGAAAATTCTAGTAATTCGGACAATTCGTATCTACTGTTTGAGCTCGTGACCGGCCGGACAGAACAAACCAACAAGAAGAACACTTTTAGATTGGAATCCAATAAAGATGTAACAAATATCAAGCTTTCTCAGCATCTTGATTACGAGAGTAACACGCAATACTCATTAATAGTGAGAGTACAAAACAAGTATCAGTTATATAGCTGCTGAAACGGTGGTCGATATCAAAGTTCTAGACATAAATGACAACATTTCGGTCTTACGTAATATCAAAAGAGGAAGCGTGTTAGAGAACGAACCCCGAGGAGTTCCTGTGTTGCAACTGCGAGCCATTGACATTGATGGAACATCCGCTAATAATCAGGTTAGCTACGAGTTGGAGAACTTCAAGGACCTCTTTGCCATCGACCCGCAAACTGGTAATATCACCACGTTAGTGACATTCGACAGAGAAGTCAAAGATATATCTACAATGTGAAAATAATAGCAACGGATAATTCTCCGAGTGCCTTGTTCAGAACCGGCAAGCACTATAAAGGACAACAGGTGTTCCAAATCGAAATTGCTGATAAGAACGACAATCCGCCTCGCTTCACCCGGCAGTGACGAAATGCGTAGGCTAAGAAATATTCACGTTTGATACAGATATTGTAGAACATGGCTATACATAACGTAACCCATTTGGTATACTTAACGCATAGCGATTATGAATAAGTATATCCAAGTGTCTGATTGTGAATTACGTACATAATATCTATATATACATTACATTTATAGGCACATTCACCAATAGCGTCTTGCTATTTATAATACTAAACATTAAGAAATGTTTAGTCATGTAAAACATCTTGTTAACTAACTAATAACTTTTTCATTTTTACACATTAACTCTTGAGATATTTCCCCGAGTGTAGTTGAATTATTTTAATTTGCGAAATATAGCAACGCGCTTTCTTTATCTGTCTCTTCGACATTCTTTTCCTCCGAGCATTCATCTGATCTCTGTGTGCTATATTCCATTGCAGTCTACAAAAGGATGTTGAATATTTAAATCTGTAATAACTTATTGCATCTGAATAGCGCTCTTAATTAATAGCTGTTTCGTGCATAATCGTAATCCACGTGGTTACACAGAAATTTAAATAATACGTATTGTGATTAGATAAATGTAGCTGTATACGACACAGTCGTAAGACAATGTCGCGCGTCCAAGTGTGAAATTACTACTTACCTTCAAAAATTTTTCATCGATAGGATTAACATATTCGTGCTGTCCAGAAGCTAAATCTGTGGCTATCGAGTTGAGTGTTACTTCAACCTCGTCGCTTCGATCATACGAGGGATTTTGGAAGCGAATGCTGTTGCAGCTATTACACAACATTGTACAATATTTTTATATGCGAGTAATAATTGTATATTACACTTAAAGATCGATTTCTAGTAAAATTTAACACTAAAATAAATTTGGGACGTACCTTAAATCGCTTGCTGATTTCGATTTTAATCTGTTTTTTTGATAGTAGTAGTAAACACATAACGCCAGAACACAAACTAACAATACGATTATTGTTATGCTATAAACGCCACTTGTATTCCGTGTATTCCTTGACGAGCAACTGCTTCTAGGAGCATGTTTCACCTCATTCATTGTCGAGCAAGTGCTATTGGACTGTATCGGTTGACCATCTGAACAAATACATGTTGCGTTGTCCTTCTTCAGAACGCACATATAGTCACAATACTTTCCGTCGCAAGGATTTTTACCTACCAAATAAATACATAATTTAATTTTACTTCGTAATTCTGTTAAGATTAATACGTGGATTTGGTTTCGAGATTATTTTTCTTAAATATTATATTTATACCAACCGGAAGGTTGTGTGGAAATATGATGAATCGCGAAATACTTGTGAATATTATTTGTGCCTAGATCTATCGTTTCGCACTGTCTTTTACCATACAGCTTACAACTTTGCAGTTGACCATTCGAGCCCATAAACCAGTAAAGCGACTGCTCATACATACCGATGCCTAACGGACGATATATCTTAAAAAAGAGCAAGGAATATGTTTACAAAGAGCACGCGAAATGCTTATATTTTATATAAAATGTTTTTGTTGTAAGAGAACGGATTGACATAATGAACCTATTAACATACATTTGTTAGTAAGAACGTGCTATTTTGGCTTCCATCCAAATTAGATGATTCAATGGTTCTCAGGTAACTGTCCGACCAATATAATTTAGATTTTATATGATCGATTACCATCCCGGTCACGAAGCCTGTATGAGAATTGATCATCTTTATGTCCAAGCCCATCATATCTGCTCGATATATTTTGCTGGACGGCTGGACCGTATCCCAAGTGATTTGAGTCCAGAATAGCAATCTACAATATCAAGAACGATTTTGAAGTCTAAAATTCTAATGTCATATTGATGTCTATTAAATTGACATAAGTCCGTTAAATAAACGACTGATAAAATGAGAAAACTGCAAATAGAATAAAAAAGAATTACTTGTTAATCGGGTCAACTATAAGGGACACTACTTTTGCCTTATTATCTTCTATCTTGACCAGCGTCGCACATATTTGTTTCTCCAAATCGCATACCTTCAATTAATTAATTAAATAAATATTCAGATCACGATATTCTTTTATTGACTTCATGTTGAAAAGAAGTTATATACCTTAATCGTATTCGGCCGGCCGTTATCAATGACATAGACGTTACCAGTAATCCAATCGACTGCGAGTGCCTGCGGATGCTCAACAATCCTAACTGTGCTTATTTTCTTCGTTGAAACGTTGATTTTTTTAATAGTGCCGAACTCATCTGCAATCATGTTTTTCCTCAATATTTAATCAGATAATGCAAAATTCTTTTGAAAGACGCTTCCAATCTGTTATTGGATGGGAATTCTTTGGATCTTTATGTCCTCCAGACATATTGTGTATTAATAATTGACTCGATACATAAGATTGAAACAAGAGACTAACCGCTACTCCAATAAGCAGTGTCGTGGATCGCGTTCACGTCGAGACCGCTTACACTCGAGTCCGTTAATGAATCAATTATTTCAACGAAGTGTAAATTAGACGAGATCCTCCTAATATCATTCTCACTGGCAGTAATGAATTCCATTGTCGGTCCTAAATAATTGTCAATGATGTTTATTACTTTAAATGACTTGCACAAACGTTTAATTAAGATCATTTACCGATAGCTCTGCAAGAAACTTGGTCATAACGGGGAATATATCCGTCGTAGCACGAGCATTCGTAAGAGCCCACAGTGTTTCGACAAATTTGCGAGCAAACGTCCTGTTCGCATTCGTTTATGTCCTCGCAAGAAATCATATCGGCAGCCAAGCGATATCCATCCTGACAGCCGCAAGCTGCGCCTAATGGTGTCTTGTAACATACACCTTTACAATAATTGTCCCTCCTCGTACAGGCGCTCTCTACACATAAAAATATAACGTATCTGTGAATAGCGTATATTAATATAGCGTTATATACTAATATACAAGATATAATTTTCTTAGATATATAATTTTCTGTCTCTTTTAATTCGTCAATATGTGGTAGTTTAAAACTGTATAATATAATAGTATAATATACGTGTATAATATAAGTATATTTCATAAACTTATAGTGAAGAAAAGATGATTTCCACGAATTTTTCAAAGGCAAAAAACACTCCGGATACTTTGTTAAATTTCTCATCAAAATGATATTTTTGGCAGGGACAGTTTTAATAGCGCAGGAAAGATTGACTACGTACGGCATTTTCCGTTTTCATCGCTACCGTCTGGACAATCTCGATTACCGTCGCATACTTTGCTGTATGGCAGACAAGTGCCGGCAAAACACTTGAATTCGTCACATTTGCCAGATTCGGTGATCATCTTTTTATTGCCGTCGCAGTCCTTCTCATCTGAATTGTCGCCGCAATCGTCGTCCTTGTCGCATACCCAAAACTCCCGAATGCACTTCTTATTGTCGCAGGCAAAATATCCCTCGGAACAAAGATTGCAATCGTGCTCGTCATCGTGTCCCGGACAGTCATCTACGCCGTTGCATCTGTAAAAAAAAATCAATGTACACAGCACATTTTTAGGATTGAGATTGTAGTTTTCTTCCAGGAAATCGCTGTGACTATTTGCCTGCGCAGCAGTCCGTAATTAAAAAAAAATCTTCACGAAAAAAGTTAAAATAACGTTCGAAAATGTTCGTACATATTGTTCACCGATCCACGCTTATATATTTTAAAACGATCGACTCACCTTACTTTTTTCGGGAGACATAAATTAGTGTTCAAACAGTGATACTCATTCGCGGTGCAATTAACCATGTAATTTAGTTCACTTGAGCAATGTCTCTCGTCGCTGCCATCGTGACAATCGTCGATGCCGTCGCACTTCAGCGAAAGAGATATGCAATTATCATTGGCGCATTGGAAATATCCATCTTGACATCGGTTCGTTGATATTGAACTGATATTGACGATTGGGTATTGTGGCTTACAGTGTGCTTCATCCAATCCGTCCATGCAATCGGGCTTGAATACAAACACGATTATATAAAATGATATTAATATATGTTGCAAATGAAGAAATCAATCAAAAAGCTTATATATTTTGGTAAGAAAAACGGTCGTTTCTACCCATTTTGTTCTGCAACTTCCTTGCAAGACAACATGTTATTAACGTTCGGTTTCTTTTCTTTACAGAACGAAGTAAATACAGCAGGTGCATTAATCGTATAAAGTATTAACATAATTGTTATCTACCAGGCCGTCGCATACGAAACTCTTCGGAATGCAATTACCCTCGTTGCACATGAATCTGTCTGTAGCGCACGTGCGCGATTCGCAATAATTAAATTGCTCATCGCTATAATCGCCACAATCGAAAACGCCATTGCATGCTTTGGCATCCAGTATACAAGTTCCATCGCGACATTGAAATTCATCTAAAAGAAACATACGTTAAGCGAATAAACGACTGTATGAGTTTGATCAAAATGCGTTCACAAAGAGAAAGATCACGAGTCTGTTCAGATATTCGTTCAATGTTTGCATTCAGATGCGATTACCCTTACAAAAATTTAATACTGTAAGTGTTTATTTGGCTAGTGATTAATTACTTATTTCAAGTATTAAAAATACTGTTTTTAATGATTTTAATACACAAAATATAAGTAATTAATTACTAGCCAATTAATGACTTACAGTATTAAATTTCTATAAGGGTAATAGATAAGATAGAAGAAGAATGCATGTGTAACGTGTTTGTCACTGTAATTACTTTTTCTGCACTTCGGTTTTTCGCAGTTCTCCTCGTCCGACTGATCGGCGCAATCAAAATGCGAGTTACAACGACCTTTCGAACTGATGCACTCGCCGTTTTTACACATGAACTGATCTTCCTTGCAACGTTTCCCCTTTTCCTTGCAATCTATCGTCTCATCTTCACCGTTCGGGCAATGCGCGACACCGTCGCACCTAAGTTGCAGATTCCAAAGATATTTATAATATTCGCGTCACATACGGAATCCATAAGAAACAGAATAATAAATATTTCTCAAGTTTGTAGAAAAAAAAAATTAAGTACAAAGATGTGGAAATTCAAGACAAGTTAGCCAATATTGATAAAATCGTATAAAGAATAACATATTAAAATGTGTCATAACTACTGAACATTATAATTGTCAAAGTATCGACAATCTCTAGATAATGAACCTATTATCTTTTATTTTGGATTATTATTTTATTATGGATTATGCATAAAAATGCTAATTAAACATACAATTGCTCCTTTTTTATGCACACGTTGTGCTCGCTGCATTTATATTCGTTCTTAGGACATTCATGATGCAAAATGCACGTACGATTGTCATTTAATGATAGCTCCATTCCGGGAGGACAAGCACAAATCTGGAAGTTTAATCATCACGTAATAATGATTACCTTAAATTTCTTCGACAAATAATATAGTATCGTGGATAAGATGACATCAAAGTACCAACGTTTTAATTGCATAGGCAAGGAGAGGTTATTTCAGTTAGTTAAAGAAAAATTGAATGCGAAATTTTCAAGATAGAAAAGGGCTTTTCAAGGGTAGGAAGACTTTTTGAGACACGGAGCTTTTTAGCTTTTTGTCTCAAAAATTTTCTATCCGATTTTGTCTTTAACCGACTCGAATAGCCTCTTCTTACCTTATGAGATCCTAGCATTAATCGAATAATTAGCACATGAATGTATCGCCCTCATGCATTGACTTTGCATACTTACAAATGAAGTAATGGAGGAAAGCAAACACACGTGTGAGCAATTTCCATTATTTTTCTGACAATCGTGCTCCTGTTTAGCATCTTTGCGCAAAGTTACCACAAGTGACATCATTGATCGAACAATAAGGCCATCGGGTATATCTAAAAAGATATCATTTTATTGACTATCCATCCTATGTGTATACATTCTACGTTATTGAACAAGCATTAAACAAACTCACGGAACGCAACAGCTTTATGGTTCGAAACTGCTTTAAAACTTGTCCAGTATAATGCCCTCGACGACACTTCAATCCAAAAAATATTGTCACCGGCGACAGTAAGACTTTTAGGCATCTTTAATCCAGTACGAAAAACATGCGTGTCTAAAAATTTGATGCTTGATATTATCACAATATTCGTATTTTTAGAAATAAAATATTGCAAATATACATATAATGATATATATGTCATAAAATGTAATTTATTAATTCAATAATATACATATATTTCAAAGTCTATCTCTGTGAAACAAGATCCAAAATAAAAATAAAAACTAGAATACAAACCGTTATTCGAGTAAGATAAGATGGAACCAGCATTCCGATCACTCAGAAAGAGTGTTCTACTGTCTCTATCGTAATACATTGATGGTACCGTTAGACCTGTCAAGTTCGTAACTAACTTTCTTTCACCAAGTCCGTCCATTCTCATTTCATATATATAAGAATCGCTATGCCAATTTCTGGCTGTTTTGAACAGTACGAACATTTTGCTACAATATATAATATGTAATATTATATATTATATATAACTGCTTTATTAACAAACACTGATCACCATCTCGTAAATGATAAGTATATAATCAATTTAACGCCGTACCTTTCTTCGGGCGCTAATGCAATAGATAAAGGATAATTTTGAAAATAATGAATGACCGTCATTGCCAAGGTTTTTACATTGTATACCTCGATAGATTTGTTTTGTGTGTTTGATATATACAAGTTATTGCCAATGTAATCAAATGCTACCCCTTCATATGCCGTATGGATTCTCATAATGTTTTCAAATGTATTGCTGACTGGATCATAGCGCATGACGTCTGATACAAGTCTGTTATTTAACCTTGTTTCCTTTTGTATAAATACCTGGCCTAAATAAGTTTTAATATTTAAAAAAAAGTTAACACCAAAAATCGATTGTTAAATCGCTGCCTGTAACATTTTTGGTAAAATAGCAATTCTATATACCAGAGAGCGGATCCGATAACATGTTCTGTACGTGGGATAGTGAATTTGAGATATTTGTCACTTTCGGCTTTCCCAACCATTCATGATAGTAATTTATAAATGCTTTGTCTGTAA